GGATGTGGGACTCAGCCTCAGAATCATGCTTAACACAGACAGCGGAGGGGAGCCCTGTGTGGACACAGGTAGCCATGGTAACCGCCGCATGGAGCCGGGATGTGGGATCAAGTTTGCAGCCCTTGCGGAAACCCGGCATTCCGCGGGGCCGTGCGTCGTAACCGGATGTGCGAGACCCTCGAACGTCCGTGGGCGCCTCCTTCCCCCGGGGGCCTCGTCTGAGACGCCCGGAAGCGCTGGCCGGAGGGTCTGAGCCGCCCTGGGAACAGGCGTCTACACGGCACCCCACGCCGACGCGGGGCCAGAGCAGCGCTGGTCTGTCCCAGTCCGGAGCCCCGTCCTCACTCAAACGCCGATCCCGAGGCCCAGAGAGGGTCACTCGGTGCCTGAGGTCACTCAGCGCCTGGCGGGGCCAGAAGCCGGGCTCTCTGCAGAGGAGGCAGGTCGCAGGGCAGGGGAGGGGCGGGAGGGTCCGGAACCCACCCGTGACGCCGACAGCCACTTACCGCCTGCTCCATGCTGTCGTTGGCCCGGTCCGTGACTTTGGAGATGAGGGTCAGCGCACCTGGGGACGGACGCGAGAGACAGCGGGCCGTCGGGGGAGGGCAGTCCGGGTGCCGCCGTCCCCCCCCCCCGTCCCTTCTGCGCCCGTCCACGGCGCGGCCCCTTGCAGCAGCAGGGACCTGGTGGGGACGGTGGGGCTCGGGCGGCACCGACTTTTCCCGCCGTGGCGTCAGGGCGCGGCCCCCACTGCGGCCTGAGTGACCCCCACGGTCCCGACCGCTCGGCCTCAGCCCCCACCCCCCGGCTGCACACCACGGACGCACAGAGGGGACCCTGGCGGGCGACACACGGGGACAGCCACACAGAACCGGGAGGAAACAGGCCAGACTCCGGGGCTCCCTCCACCAGCCGTCCGGGAGTCCCCGCCGCCGAGGGGACGCGGGATGGTCTCGGAGGACCCGGAGGCGACCCGGACTCGCGGAGCGCGGGACGCGCCCGGCCGGGCAGAGCAGCCGAAACGGGAGCAGCGCGGCCCCTCGTCCAGGCTGGCGCCGGGCTTACCCTGGGTGCTGTCGTACTCGGCCGAGTCCGGGCAGAGGTTGTTCAGGTAGTCTGTGGGCGCAACGAGAGCCGGGTCGCCGACGTCCCTCCCGCCACCGGCGTGGGCGCCCGCCGCCATCAGAGGAGACGGCCCAGAGGACCGGGGCGCCCACGCCGTCACCCGTGAGCCCTGGCGTGACCCCACACTGGGACAAAGCCGGGTTCCACGGCCACCGTCGGCGTCGCTCAGCCCACAAACACCCGCCGAGCGCTAGTTCTTGCGCGTGCCTGGCTTGCTCCTACCCCAGGGCCTTAGCACCTGCCGTTCCTGTGTGTGCAGCGCCCGCCTCCCCGACGAGAGCGCCCGCTCCCCGGGGCAGGGGTCTCTGCGCATTTGGGGAGCAGCGGGCTGAAGGGGTCTGGAGCCCAGGGCACAGGTGAGAGGGTGTTTCCCGTGG